CTATATAAAAGGAAGGTATTCCACATGAAACTCGTACAGGAGGACGTAAAGCGTTCATGAAAGTAGAGTACAGCATTTTCATGAACTGTATGGACTTCCCAAGTAGAATATGGAAGGGCTAATAAAATATGTTTCTGTCGGAAAATGAAGTTAGACTGCTATCCTCACGATACGAATTAAAGCCAGCCGAAAGAGGACTCTACATACAGTACTGTATACCATGTTTCCTACACTGAACGGGGTATTTTACTTCGAATGCGTTTTACTGTACATAATACTGCACATAAGACAACGAATACCTGCAGAAAGTAGAAATTCGAATAGAGAAGCAAGGCATGCAAAGAATTAGTCCTCGGTTTATATGTTCGTAACTCTAGCGGGTACCCAGAAAATGAAGTTTAAATTCTTCAAGTCATAACAAAAAATACCGGAGCACTCTCTCCACAAGGAAATTCGAGGGATCAGAACGAGTTCGTTGCACAAAAAAATTCCTAAAAGATGTGTAGAGAACCCAATAGGATCAAATAAAAATTCGTTAGGAGAAAATCGTTGTGGGCAAGATCGTATACTTATCAGGTGGAGTCGCTCTCTTTATATAGGCCCTAACATCAATTTATGTTTTCCATGCCATATGAACTCTCCGAGACAGTACCTTTAACTATCGATTTTCCGAAATCTTAGCTTCTCTATGTACTATCAGTATTGTATTGAGAATCTGACAGAAGGCTTTTATTATCGATGACTAACTTAAGTCTCCTAGGCAACTACGCAAGTAGCCTACAGAGCGTCAAGGTCATCTTTACAGCGTACCTCTTATAGCCGTACTTCTTTTAAGGGTGTCTCCACACCATTTATAATTTTCTTAAACGGCACATGAAATTTGAATCGTATCTCTGAACTGGAAAACAATTTTCAAGCAGAAAAATGTAAATTTTTGGGTAGTCATGGTCAAACGAGCACAGAACTGTATTATGCGTCGAGCAATCGAATAAAGTACTCGTCGTTCGTAAAGTTTTAGTTTCGTGGAAACTAGTATTTTGAAGCGAAATAAAATGGGTAAAATGACAATTGATTTTTTTTACTGCTTCCCTCTCATTCAGTAATCATATGTAGAAGATTATCTCGCCTGAAAGTTTCCAGAAGAGCCCGGTACAGTTCATACAGGGATAATTTCAAGATAACCCACCGACAGGATCCCCCAAGAGGCTCAAAAGCAGAAAGCAGGTGCAAACGAGGTTACTTCTGCATCCTTTTCTATTTAGTGGCGAGCTCAGTCTCATTAAGTGATACCTACTTGGGCCACATCGGCCTCACCGTTGTCCGTACAGCCGCAACGGTTCCTGTGCTGGCTTCGTGGGACGAACAAATGGTGTGCTTGAAACGAGATTTGACCATTCACCTGGAAACACATCAGGAAAATATTTCATCATTTTTGATACGGAGTATTCAACATCAAAATACTTGACACTATTACGTATTTACTCAAGTACCAGGCGCACTTTTGGTCTCAAAATTGAAAGATGAACAGGGGGATGTGCATAATAGGCGGGCCCAAATAGAAAAAGTTTTAGAAGCTTACGCGTGCATCATATTTGATTTTAATCGGAAATGTTAAAGAAAACTTGCTGTGAATAGATTTCGTTTTTACGATTTTTAAATATAGGATCAATGCATGCCTGAATTTAAATTTCGGTGCTCTTATTTTCGAAACATTGCACATTTAGAATCACTATTGGGGTCCGCGTCCTACTTAGCTACAATTTTATGAAGAAATTTGATTGAAAAATCCTTCTGCACATCTGACTCGGGGGCGCCGTGGTATTCTAGTAAATACGGTGAAGAGCATTATTGGCGAACGCCTTCCAAGTTCTAACTCGAAAGAAATCATGCTTCGGGATAAAAAAAAAATCACCTTTGAACTCATCCACAGACACATCGTCGGGAAGATCCGCAACCGAACCTTCCACTCTTTCCATTGCTTCGCTGTCACTCTGATCTGTAACCTTGATCCACTTCTCCTTCATCTCCGGCTTTAAACACACAGTCGTGGAAGAAACTGGCTCCTCAACTTCCTCCACTTCAACATCGACCTGCTTGAACAATGCGGCCGGAGAACTTGGAAAGGGCGGAATAAATCCTCGAACTCCATCCGAATCTTGTCCGAACGACAGCAGTATGTTATTCGGCAAAATGGCCACGTCACCGTTTTGTTCCACCGGTCGCAATTCGTCGTCAAAATGAATCCCATCGCGACGGAACACGATGTCGTACAGAGACTGCAAAAATTACATCTTCAAGCTCTAAACCATCTAACTCTTCACCTCGAAACTATTTACGGGTACCCGTCAAAATACAAATACAGTTGAACCAGGACAACTGAAACCTCCCCAAGTCGAATACCTTCCTATGTCGAAACTTTTTCAAGTCCACGTCTAAGTTACCTTGAAAAGCATGCATTGAAAACATCCAGAACTCGAATTTTCCGGAGGCATTTTGCCTATTATTTTACTGAAACAGGAAGAGAAAATCAATAAAAATTAAATTGATGTGCTTCGAAAGGAAATGGAAGACCAGTAGGCAATTAAACCCTTGCCTCGAAGTTCAGCATCCTGCCAACTCCTTCAGGAAGCAATTTAAGGTGGAGAATCACACCAATAAATACGATTTCCTGTAATTCTTTTTTTCACTTCAACAATAATGCTTTTTCCCCAACTCGAATTTTTTGCAGTCCCTTGAAGTTCGACTTACAGAGACTCAACTGAGAAACATAATCACGGATTTCTGCACCAAATTTAGTATCACAGGTTCGGAACATCCAGTTTCTCAGATACGAACCCTGCATTCCTGATTTGGGTAGTGTTCAAAGAATATACAGCCATTCAAGCAATTCACGTTGCACAAACGGTGAAGTTATTGAACGAGGTTAAAACATTAAAGAAAAAATGTGAAGCATATACACAGAAATCTTACGATTCGAGGTGCAAGCACGAAAGAGCACCCGGCATTTTTTCGGTTCAAATTTAAAATACGAACTAACGCACTGGAGAATTTGAAAAACTCGATATTTTTGTACTATATTGCAAATTACCCTACAATCTGTGAGGGTACATACAGTGCGATACGTTTCTTCTACGAAATACTTACATTGATCAAATTGGCAATAGCAGCATCTCGTCCACTGGCTTGAGCAAGCAAACAGCTGCGCTTTAGCAACTGGAAAGACGATGTTGACAAGCGTTGGTAGTGACACAATTCTCGCTCAGCTTCCGACAACAGAAACTTGTAGTGTCTCTCAGTCGCATTCGCTGCTTGCGCCGCAAACTAGAGGTGACCAAAAAATCAGTAGATTAAAATTTTGAAACAAATCCATGAAACAAACTGGATAAATTCAAAAAATACAACTAAGCAAGCTTTAAAGGAAAAATAAAAAGTCACCTTAGCCTGGATCCCTTCAACCAATCGCAAAACAAGGGGAGTTTTATCTTTCTTGGCGAAAGGTCCTTGCATGGACTCCACGCGAGTCTTAATTGCATCAATGGCTGAAGTTATGGAATTCGCGTTCTCTTGCATTGCGAATCTCAATTCCTGCTCTTTCACGCCCACTCGGCTCAGTATTTGGTCAATTTGAGTTCGAAGTCTCGAGAAGTCTTGCTTTCGCTGTGGAAAAATAAAATGAAGTCCACACAATTGTGAAAAATATATTTCATTAAACAGATGTCTTTTTCGGAAAACCGTTTCCGAAAACAAACGCACGCAAAATTGTCAAAATGGTTGAGAAGGTCCGACGCGACTAAAACTGAATCATCGATTGAAGTTACCAAAAAAAATCTTGCACATTTCCGAAATACGAGGGATTTCTCAGAAGCCCTGCGAGTCTGAAACAAATTTGTCATCAGCATTCGAAACTTAATGAAGCTTTTTCAGCTACTTATTTCAGTCTATTCTTCAGATATTTCATCAACAGAAGGCGAATAACAGTAAAATATGAAATTATGTACTCAACCTCTCAATCTACTGCCAGTCTGAAAAAAAAAAACTGCATACAACTAAATCTTGCGCTGCCCACCGAAAAAGTGGCTTTCCACCTTTCCAACCCTTTTCACAAGTTTAATTCCGAAGACAGAAGCTCAGACTATCATCAGGAGCACTCGAGGTCACACGACGGCTGATTCAAGTTGACATTAGCCCAACCGAAGAATCGACCAAGGAAACTTTCGACAAATTTGAAAATACCAAGACAAGAACTTACCTTTCGCTCGTCAGTCAACAGCCGCATGTAATCCAATTGTGACTCAACCACTTTGGCACGTTCTAGCCGAAAATGACCAGAACTTTTTTCGAGGAAAACTTCATGGAGTTGCACGTCCAACATTCGCTGTGTTCTGAAAGCCTCCTCCAAAGGTACCAACTGATCCTCGAACATACTAATGCTCGAATTTTCCGATTGGTTCGCGAGAGCTACTTTACATGCGTCGCGTTCGGCCCGAGCAATATTCCGCTCTTCGCGCACTTGCGCCAATTCAGCTTCCAACTCGGCGTTCTGTCGCCGCGATTGCGCCAAATCTGCAGTGAGCTCTGATATTACTTTTAAGCATTCTGCAGTTGACTGGGTTACGGTGCGAACATTCTGCTTCAGCTATGGAAAAAATATAATCATAGCACTACGCATCTTGGATAAACACACACGGACACACCGAATTCGCGAAAGTTGCAGTGAAAATCAATCGAAAAGTGAAAAACATAAAGATTGAGGCTTACTGAACAGGTTATTTTTCGTGCTCTTGACGCGTATTCCAAAGTATTTTTCGTGTCGCCGAACTGGAGAGAAGTCGGAGATACCGCCGCCAGCATCACAGTGCGACAATTTCCACCCAAACAGTCTTTCAACAGCCTGGTTAATTTGGATCCGCGGTAATTAACGTGACCTTTCCCCTCCACGAGATCATTAATACAACGACCTGAAAACAGGAAAAAAGCGTAGATTGAATTCCCAAGTAGCTTTCCTGAGTGAAATTTGTTTTTCATTCCGTTTTACAACGCTGACAATTATGCCTTGAATTGTTAGAAGGCTCACGACTTCCTTCATCAGAAATGCTAGCACATCGCAACAAACCTAAACCTTAAAAAGTCGACGATGCCACGATAATAACCGTGATATCGTCACAATTGGTATGATAAAACGCTCTACAAGTCACAATGATTTTTTGAGCGGAATTGATCGAACCCCAATAGATCAATCTCAGATGAAAATTATGCAACGAAAATACATGCGGAAAATCACGCAGGAATGAGCATACGTATACAGTTTAATGTAAAACAAAATACAAGCAAGGCTTATAAAATTCAATTGTAAACATTTGAAACGATGTTACCTGATACAGGTGGACTCTCTCTTACAACGATTTTGTCTACAACAATTTTCACTGAATAACGAATTTTTTGTGGTCCCATCAGGCTCTCTTCCATTTTATAGGGGCTCTCTGCAACAAAATTCTCTCTTCAGCGAATTTTTTCTGGTCCCTTGAATTTCTTTGTAGCGGGAGTCCACCTGTATATCTTAATGGTTTAATGATCTCATTAAAAATAAAATCCTTGTCTTGCTTTCGAAGCGAAAAAATATTGAAGAATTTTCTCAAAAACACAAGAAGTACAAATTTGTGAGAATGAAACAAGCTTTGATCAAAAACGGCCTTTTATCAGAGCGAATTAAAACAAAAAAATATTTTTCGCACGTATTGGGCCAAATATTTTTCTCGAAAGAGTAATATTTTCAGTTCTTCACGTCAGTGCATTGATTTTTTTACCGTTAATTTCGAAAAGGGTTCGCTTTAGATGTATATTTTATGGAAACTAAAATATCCGAACATTGATCAAGTACTTGCTTGGTAAAAAAAATAAAAGCATGTAGCGCGGAGTATTCTCCTTATGAAGATATACGTTTCCAAATACATGTAATTTCAAGAAATACTTATTAATTATCTAGGGAATATAACTTATCATGTAATTCAAGTAGAGTACTGTACGTGACAGCTCATAAACCTACAGTAGGTTGGATAAATCAAAAATCCTATTAGTACGTACAGTACTGTACTGGGAAGGTATACATTATATGAACACATAAAATAGGAAAATCGACCAACGTACCCAAGGCAAGGAGTGACTTGTTGATGTTAGTTCCTTCCTTGAATCTAGCTCCAGTGCTAGCTGTAGCGGCAGCACGCTCACTACCAGCAAGATCCACGAGAACCAACTTTGAATATCGGGACCTCGGCATTTCCATACATTCCATTCCTTCTTCGGAAACCAACTCTCGTTGGATCAACTGAATCTATGGAAGACAGTTTTTGAGAGAAATGAAAATAAGCGAATACGAAATTAAATATGCACTACGACAGTCCTTTATTTTAGTCACCCGCAATTGAAAAGATTCGCCTGACGATTAAATAAAAATATGCACAGGTCAAACCAAGATGTCAACTCGCTTTTAAATGTCAAAACATTCTTAATAAGCGGCGGACTACAGATCAAGAATTATTTCTGAAGTTAAATTAACTCAGAGTACTTCGGTGACTAACGCGCCAATTCGAAAAATTAGGAAATTTGTCCATATCAGACTTGGCACTTTTTAACAGGCATCCCATTTTTCATTGTTACCCGTAGCAGGAAAAACTTCGCGCTTTTCTTCCGCGTAAATAGGGTAAAAGCCGAATTTATAAATGGGGCACGTATTTAAAACTTGCATTTATTTTAACCTGACCAGCTCCCCAGTTTGCTCACATGATGAATACTTACAGTAAAAACAGCATGAGAACGGGAAGAATCCTTGTTGACGACCGTACCAGACTGCGAGCGGTTTTCATTGCCTTTCACCAGCATATCAAGCAATTCATCCGGTGTCTTCGGAGTGTGCCAGCTAAGTCCTTTCACGGAAACAACTTGACCATCATCCAAAATTTGTAGAGGTACTCGCTCGCTTTCAATCAGATCGTACACAAGTTCGTTGTACACCTATATCCGAAAAATATTCATTAGACGCGATTTTCGACCGGAGATCTACGAACAAGGACTGTCAGCATCTGGACGGATAAATTATAATTCACAACATTTTCAATACTGTATCTCCCATCAGCTGCTAAGCAAAAACTCCATTCACAGGGTTTCGACTATTACTCTTGCTCAAGGTATCAATAAAACAGAAACATTACTGATAAGTTTCTAAATGCTTTTCGGATTCAGTATTGAAGTTTGAACATCAACTTTCGCACTCCGTACCTCTAAATAAGACACCTGAAATTCGGCAGACATGGTGGATCTTTCCTGCGTCCTCCTGAAGAGTTCAGCAGCAGTGAGAAATGTGATCCCGGGATCATTTCCTCTTCCAAGCATAGTATGAGTTTTACCGGCACCGGTCGCTCCGTAAGCGAACACTATATTAAAGCGGATTAGATAAGTACAGGAATAATTTTCGAAAATCACGCGAGATATAAGACACACATACCGGAACCATTGTATCCTTCGAGAACTTTCTCAATGACTTCCGTCATTGTCTGCGAGAATACTTCTGAATTCGTATCGGATTCGCTGAAAACATGATCATAACTGTACGTTATATTCTGATGCCGTTTCCTCGCAGCTGAAGGAACTTGACGCATTCTTCCATTGTGGAAAAAAACCTTCTCGTCTTCTACATCTGGATCGAAAAGGATGCAGTTTTGAAACGGCTTCACAACCGTTTTCGCTCTGTAAGGGATATAAACAAGTCGGAAAACATATTCAATAATTTCCTGTATCAGAAATATAGTATACGGGTTGAAGCACGACAGCTCACGAAATGTTGAGCGCAGCAGGTTGTAGTACGAAACGATTTTTATCATCCCTAAATTCAACTCTCTAAAATGGGCTTACGTTTCATTTCCGGATTCTCTATCGTTTCTTGGACGTACTCGAACCGCAACTTTCACGTAAGATGAAGTAGATTTCGCTTTCGGAGTTCTGACAATTGTGGCTTGAAAACTCCTTCGCTTCCGTGCAGCACCAACGAGCACGGAAGCCTTCTTCGAACGCAATGGTGAGCATAGTAGCCTAGTGCGTCCGGCTTTACTGTTAACACTTCGTCGTATTAGCGCCATTTACGAAATATCCAAGACGCTGCAACTCGATCCACCACAATGTGAACACTTTCTACGTGACCATGTCTGCAACTTCAGAAACAATCCGGCTGATTACCGAAAAACCGCATCGACACACTTTAAAAATACATGCACCTCTCGATGATGTTCTTCGTGAGGCACAGACACACAGAACCGAATGATTTCAAACGTCACGGTGAAACACGAGCAATGCATAAATTCGCGTGGACTTCGTTCAATGCTCTTCCACGATTCTGACAAGAATTTTTACTCATCACGAATCCAGAGAGAAGAAAATAATTGCTGCAGTTGTTACAATCCGATCACCACGTAAAGAATCACGTATCATTCACTTACTGCAAATTTTGCCAATTCAAGTTCATCAAAATTGGACCATGCAGCCGATGAATTTGAACCGTATTTCGTGCTTGGCGGTTAAGGAATGGTAGGTGAAAACCTCCATTCGAGGTTGCTCTTGTAGCTGTCATGGCGGCGCACAATCGTTCTAGCGAGTTCGGCGCATACTTCACGGGGGATCTGGGCATCAAGCAAGTCCTTATACTGTACAGTAATACCGTACTGTACTACCTTATTGTTCTTATTTCAACGCAGAGCAACTACCGAAGTAAAAATGACCGACTGAAGAGGCATCAGTAACCAGGACTAATTTGGTTGCCGCTCCGAATAAAGGATTTGGGGCGCTGCTGATGTCTTTCCCAAATCAAGTTTCAGCTGGTTACCATGAAACCCCATGCAGTACACGTACTGCTGTTTAACATCAGTGCAGTAAATTCAGATGAATTCCAATTGTTGAAAGCATGGCTGCGTTTAGAATTCGCATTGGCGCAAAGCTGCTGCCTCTATATACCATGAAACCCCATGCAGTACACGTACTGTTTAACATCAGTGCAGTAAATTCAGATGAATTCCAATTGTTGAAAGCATGGCTGCGTTTAGAATTCGCATTGGCGCAAAGCTGCTGCCTCTATATACATAGCAGGTATTGGGGTCATTGTTCAGTAGAGTATATCTTATTGAATGGTGGGACAATTCGTCTCAGAAAGCATGAGTATGTTACATGGAATCTACATGGGTTGTTGTCATTTTCCTGGGACAATATATGTGCATTAGCTGTAGGACATGTTTTGCATAGAACAGCTGAAATTTTTACGGCATATCATGCTGAGTTGATAAATCTGCTGGGGCCTCAAATCTCAATTGAAAATATTCACTGCATTGGAATTGTCAAGGGGTTTCAAAATGTTCATAATGTGTCATGCAATATTAAATTTTGAGTAGTAACTTTTCTAGTTACAATATCCTGACAATTTTCACTTTTTGGAATCTGGCTGTAAATGTCTGACCCAGAAAAAAAGTTTGCGTTACACTTCAAAAGTGCGAAAAGTTGAATTGTTACATTTCAGTGCCCTCAGACAATTCATAACTCCAGATTAGCACTCATTGAATTGTTACATTTCAGTGCCCTCAGACAATTCATAACTCCAGATTAGCACTCAACCAAGCTTTTTTAATAAGTTGCTGTCAATTGTTAGAGTTATAGGGAAAAAATCCATACTTCCAAATATGAGTCCACGTATATACCTGCTGGAAAACGAACTCAGGTATATCACCACTTGAAAAGCCCTGCTGTGAAGAATTTTACATTTTTTATTTTAGTTTTGGTACTATACTGGAACTGTGCCGTATAGTCATATCAAACACTTTTTTCCCTTCTTCCCCATAAGCAAATATTTTCAGGTCACGATTTGAAAAGAGGGAAGGTTGAATAAGTACAATAAGTTGGAAATATAAATTGAAAACAAATGAGCTATTATTAAAAAAATTGAAACTCCTGATTTTTAGCCTCTCAAACATTTTTGATCCAGGAAATGCGTATACAAGGCAGAAATTTTCATCGTCTATAATAGATAGTTGTTGCCATGCATGAGTCCGTAACAAAACGCTCTTCAAAAATTCCTTAGTTCTGAATTGACTTCTCAGCAAGGGTATGCATTTAACAGAACAAATAAAATTTGGATTACAGCTGTATTCAGACTGGTGAAGAGTGCGTCATTTTCCTGCAGTTGATCAAATATCCAACATAATCCAATATGGCAGGTTTAAAAACGCTAGAATGAATTCCAAAAGATTTTGGAGGAACGCTTTATTTATGTCAATTTATCATTCAGATATTTTTCTCAAGTTGAATATTGTACTGTATTTTCACTATACCTTGGCTTGTTATTGTTCCCTATATACAGCGAGTGCATGAATTTAAAATCAAGTGCTGGCATGCACTGGATGTCTACTCTTTGAGTAATGAAAGTTATACTCCACTATACTCACATACTGTAGCAAGTTTTTTTCCTTTTACGAGAATTTTGCAAACAGACAATACTGATAAAAACCCTCCATCAAGCATGTATACGGCAAAACTTACACCTTTCCCCAGGGATAAGAAACTCGCCATGATCATGGACAGAATCCCGTTAACGCAGAAGTTCCCTCCGTAGCAACCAACAGAGCAGAAATTTCGTGTTTCACAAAGAACATGTGTTTATATTGCTCACACCATAAAAAAATTACCGCGATAGTTTAGCGTGTCTCATTTGGGCACACATTCAATCATCAACAATCAGGCATACGCTGCAGAATTTACAGCATAATCACAAAGTCTCCGTAGTTTTGAAGGGTTCAAAGGAACTATGGGCAATACTCGGACGTAATCCGAATGAGTATGTAGATAAGTGGAAACGACTTGAATTAATGCTGAATTCCGTAACTTAGCCGCTAATACCCTCAAACAATCGGCCGATCATAGCTGCAACCTCGTTCGGGGTGTACTTCACATACTTCGATCGGTTCTTCGTAAATGGAAGCTCCGAAAATCTTCGGAAAAGACAATAAAATGCAAATTAACACATTTAAAA